GTCTGAAACTTATTTATAAGGTGAATCTTTCATTCTGTGCACATAAACGTGTAACAAGACACAAGATTTGTACTCTTACTTTGGCCTGACCTTTCAAGATGAAGCTTTAGGATGTTTTAAGACAATGTTGTTGAAGATGCACAACTGTTTCAAGTTTCCACTGATGACACAGTTGCAGTTTATCTTCAGGTTTATTTTAGTCGGACTCGTGACATTAATATGGTGGGAAATCACTTTGATTCAGTGGGTCACAGCTTTTGTGATGACTCGAAAAGCTCTTTTGTTAAGACTAGTCGGCTCGGTAAAATTTCCATGCGTTCCTATGCTCTGTGGGAGGCAAGGTAAGGCCTGCGGTTCTTCAGAGTCATTGAATCAGGATGAAATGTATAAAAAAACCAAAAGAGCATGAATCAGATTGCATTCTTTAAGAACGACGAGAATAGATGAGTAATTAGCAGAAAAATGAAGGATGCCATGAGAGAAAGTGCAGCAGTTTGCCTGTTTCTACATATCTGAGGTAAATCATGCTGCAAGTAACACATCTGAAGCAGCTTAGCAAAATAATTAATCTTACTACATTATGTAGTGCAGTAAATCTGATATATCAATATATAACCAGCTCTGTGTTTTCTTTCCACGTACATGCTTTGCATTTGTAGATGTAATTAATCCTTCGATATTTTGAATTGACTTATTTAGAGCTCTACGTTGGAAATGTGTCACTCAGGTGCAATATTACTCTCTCTTAAGTTACTAAGTAAGTAGTTTTATTTCCTGCCGTGAAAATAATTTATCATCGTGACTCAACGTGATTGGATATTGGTCCTTTGAGTACTTTAAGCAGTAGCCGGTTGTGTGCTGCTTTACAGTGCAGCATTCATGTGAGTGTGCATGTGTGTCTGTGTGAGCCACATGCACACGTGCATGTCCGTTGATTCTTTGGAAGACTGGGGCGCCTGCCAGCAACCCTCAACAGCGTCCACTGCCAATTAGTCCCTTTATTTGTTTAAATTTTGCTGGACCAAGACGCAGCAGTTAAGACATTCCATGCAGTGCTGCTGGGCTGCTCCTTAAAGCTGCAGAGGATGTTTCTGATTGAAGTTCAGATGGGATCCTTACGGTTTCCACTGCATTTAATGTTTTTCATATTTAAACTGCCATTTCCGCAGAGGGCGCATCATCTGAAGATTTGGTTTGACGAGATCAGCACTGTCCCGAACAATCATGATCAGACATTCCACTCTTGGCAAGCTGAAGCTAAAATGGCATGACATTTTGTTGTGTGTTTTTTGTTCCCTGTAATGTGTAGCTTCTTTGTTTGCATTAACTTGTTGTGTTTGGGGTATTGTACCAGCTGTAGCGTCAGGTGCTGGGCTGATATTTTCTCCAAAGACTCCTGTTGATTATTTGTTCACATTTTATTTAGGCTTTAATTGATTTGGACATTTTTAGGTGCTTTGACTCTGGCAGAGTGAATGAGTCCATTGATGGAGCATGGCAGGCCTGCTACCTCCAGAAATGAGTGTGGAGCTGTGGGTCAATGCTTTGGCACAGTGAATAACAGCCTCAGCAATGGAAGCTTTGTCTCTATCTCTGCTGGCAATGCAGCGCTGCCTCAGGCCCAGTTCCACCACTGCCTTCAGGGACACCAAGGACTAATCTGCCCCCTTCAGAGCCACCCCCACACATGGGCCGGCTGCAGGCCTATAATTACCTACAGTGAAGAGGTGTGGACTTTTTTGTTTTTGAAGCCGGGAAACAATCTAACCACACTGTTGACCTGTAACTGGGTCAGCCGCCAAGTAGTGAATTTCCTTTCCCACAACGGTTAAGCTGGCCAGCCTTCTGAGCAGAGCCTGAATGCTGGACTGTTGTCCACTGGCTCTCTGCAGCGATGTCTCCTCTTGGCCTGTAAATCAAACAGACAGATGTAAACTGATAATGTATTAGCCTGCAAAAGTGGTGTGTGAAGCTGGATACTTTAAAGGATTGATTTTCTGTCGGCTTTATTAGCTTAATCTGCTGGAGGAGATGCTTTACTGGAGGCAGCAGGTTTTGCTCTAAACATGTAATTTGAGATATGGCACACTGTTTTCCTCTGCTTTGCATTTCGAGGCTCTTGCACTTCTTTTTTGACACACTCAAAATGAATTATGCAGTCTGGGGGCATAATTGCAAAGCTTTCCATTTCCTTGTATTTCAAAAGACAGAAGAAAGCTGATGGTTAGTTTTAGGGCCTTGTTTAGTGGACAATTTTCTAGTTTTACTATTCAGGTGTTGATGAGTTCTCTCTTTTGCTCGGAGCTTGATAGAAAGGACTTTGATTAATACATTGGAGATATAGTTTATTTCAGTTTTCTTTGTTAGAATATGAAATTTCCACTTTTGATCTCAGAGGAAAGCTTTGCTTCACCTTCCTACTGCCTTCTGATGTTCTGTCAAAGCTCTCTATAAATCAGTTACTTGGTCTCGCTCTGTTTTAGGCTCCTCCTTGCAGCTGGCACCCTGCTATTGACAGTAGCCAAACAGCTCCTCCTGTTATCGGCCATAGACGGATGTTTTGCAGGGCCGATTTACAGCTTTTCAGTTATGACATTACACATCCTCATAGCTTAGATAAGACAGACACAGCTGTTCAGATAAATGCTTTGTCTTCTTGGCAGAAATAAGAGGCCGGTGTGATCTGAAGCACACTCTTGACTTTTCTCGTCGTCAAATAAGTGTTTAAATGCTTGTAAATTTGGTTCTGGATAATTTCACCCCTCAAAGTTCACTTGCTCTGTGTGAGCATTGGGATTGCTGTCGGGAGACTTCTCACTCGTTCCTCCCCTCTGCATCACACAGCATTGATCGGCACAGACGAGAACGGGGTGTGCTTCATGTGTCACAATGTTTTGATTGGCATGTTTGAACCTCCCACAGGAAGATGTTTCGAAAGAGTGCGGTTAGAAGAAAAGTGTGGGATAACACAAAACACGGCTGTCATGCACTTCTTACCCTTTCAATTTCTCATGACTGCTCTGTTTCACGTCACTTTTGTCTGTGTTTCTGGTTCCTTAACGTCGTAGCGTAATGGTTGGAGACGAACACTTGAGGGTGTGCCAGATCAATTCCCTGGACTAGCTGTTTAAAATCTGGATCAATGAAGTGAAAGAGAAACGACTGCAGTGTGCCTTGGCTGCTGTAGTGAAGTTGCACAGTGGCTAGTAGTAAAATAGTGTGGTTGCATTGGCCAGCTCCCAGGTTATGAGTATAGCTTATGCATAGAACGAGGATAGGAAACAGCCAAGTACAGTTGGTGAACACCCAACCAGCCATTCGTTTCTCCCCAGCCAGCATTTAACATACTCAGTTGCCTGTTTACTCAGTCTACTTAGTTAGAACTATCACAGTCTAATGCATCAGGGTTTGTTTTTTTAGCTTGTTTTCCAGCTTTATTTACATTTTCAAACCTGTAGATTTTGGCAGTGTTGAATAGCATTTTGAGGTATATTGAGAGGTGCTTCTAACACTTTGTCCACCTCGTCAGTTTCAATGACTGTAGGCTAAATATTAGAAACACCTGCCAAAATAATTGGAGAGGTTTATAAATCAACGAACTTTATTCCTCCTGAAGCGGCGCCTTGTAGATTGTATATCTTGGAGCAAATGGTTGTAGCACATGACAGGAAAATGATTTTGTTGATTTGTAAGTAAACAAATATCTGTAAATCATCTGCTAGCTTATTTTAGAGATGCAGCAATTACCCAGTTAGCTGTCAGCTAATAAATTCATTGCCAACTATTATGAGAGTTGTTTAATCGGTTTCAGTAATTCTCTAAGAAAAAAAGTCAAAATTATCTGATACCAGCTTCTTAAATGTGATATGTCGTGGTTTCTTTACTACTCTGTAAGAGTAAACTGGATATATTCACGATATGGACAAAACACCACTTTTGATTTTTTACGCCTTTTCCTTCGTTAGCTACATCCCTAGCTTATGCTTAACCAGGCTTCAACGTTAATTTAGTATTAGCTGTTGATTAAAGATCAAAGATTTGAGTGATCATAGTGGGTTCGTATACAAATTGGAACATCACTAAATAATAACAACAGCCATAACTAAAGATTTTGGAGAGTTTGAGGCAAATTTGAATGCTTCCTAATTCTTTAGCAGTTTGGCAAGTTCATTTAGAACTTTTCTCCCTTTTTTTTTTTTACTCTGTAGGGTTCTGTTCTCCCAGCAGCAGATTTATGGTGCTTCAAGTTGTACAACCAAACAAATCAGCAGCATATTTGCTGACACCATAGAGCACAAAAGAAAATCCAGCACACAAGTGTGCGTTTATGCTTTTTGGAGAAACCCTTTCCGTGGTTAATTTTGGGTTAAGCAACAAATAAAGAGTTCTTCAGATTTATGTGTGTGAGATAGTCATTGACAGTTTGCAGCCCTGCAGCTCTTCGTCTGTCTTCGTGCTGCAGAGAAATTCCCAGGAATCAACTGTTCTGCAGAGCTGCCTTACGTTGGATCTTTATGTGGAGATTTGCATCCAGACCAGACTACTTTTCGGCCCTGTTCTTTCCTTAATAAATGAATGTTGATGTTAAGATCAGTGGGAAAGGTTGGTTTTCTCAATAGTCAGTCAGAGGTGGTTTCCTCCCTTCGCTGCTCTTTTATTAAGGAGCTTTGTGGGGAGGAGGGCTGCTGAAATGAATGCTGTCTATTCTCATTGACGACCTCTGAAATCTTGTTTTGAAAGCTCCCAGGCATAATGAAATAGACAACCTCAAATGTCTGACGGATGTCTTGTTGAGCAGAGTTGCAATAGACCACATTGGCTCCTTCCCTGCCTCTTGGACAAGCTTACTTTTTCATTGAATGTTAACAAAACACAGACATATCCACCTCAAATGTGAAAACTGCCTTCAGTATGGAATACAGAAAGATGGGATTCGTAACTGGTATTGAAAGAACATTTTTTTCTTATCAGTTTTCCTTTCTTTCTCTGTTTCAATTCAGAAGATGATCAAAATGAAGGCGGTTTGCTGCCACGACTGACGCCCCAGTGCACTGAACAGAACAAGCAGTCCTGACCTGGCAACATACGAATGGCCCAGGGAAGCCACCAGATTGACATTCAGGTTTTGCATGACCTGCGCCAAAAGTTCCCTGAAGTCCCAGAGGGTGTTGTCTCCCAGTGTGTTCTGCAGGTAAGGGGCTTAAAACCTCCAACACCAGAACAATGGGTGTCTGCAAAGTAAAGCCTGACTAAAATGTGTTTTTCATAGGTAGCCAGTTGGTTATTCTTAACTGTAAAACGTCCTGGCCAAAATTAAATGGGTCAAAAATGCTGAATATATAAATTTTACTGTCAGCCTTGAAAATCCTCTGTAGGCTGAGCTCCAGTCCTTGGCATCGTTATTTCAACAGAGCAATAAATTAGTCCACAAGATCTTACTACCTGGGTGACAGATATTAATCTACATAGATTTACAATCTATATACAATCATGAGACAGAAGCGCTAGGAAATATGTGAGGGAAAAAGATAAATCAGAGTTAACTCAATAAGAATTATGCTGTGTTTTGTTTCACGTCAGCCTGCTTTCTGTTAACTGTCAGGACTTCTGTGTTAAAGTCTAAGTGGCTAGTGCAACAAATTAAACAGGTTAATGCCATAAATTTTGCCGGTTGCTGTGTTTTTTAAACCATTATTATCTGTCACTAAGACAAAATGGTATCTAAAGCCCCTTTCAGACATTGGTTACATCGCTTCATTCATCAGTCTGTCAAATTGAAGGCATTTAGACATAATGTTCCTACGGCTTCCTTCAGATGTAACCACAACAGAGACGGAGAGAGCCATGGTATGCATCAAGTAATGTATAATACATAATAATTCACTTATAAACAAAAGACTCAATCTAAACTAAGAGCTCGCCTAGTTTCTTAGCTTCAAAAAGTGACTGGACTTCTCTTTATTGGTTCTCGAAGACATTTCAATCTCATCCAAGAGGCTTCTTCAGTTCAGAACTGAAGACTGAGAGGCAAGCGTAAAGTATTTATAATTTCCTAAACACAACAAAATTATATCCGTGCATGATGATAATGTAACTACTACTTAACTAGCAGTAAAATACAAATACCGTGACAGCTGTGATGACGATCAGGACTCGGCCTGAGCGTGGCTGCTACGTAACAAATGATTTAATTGTAGCTCATAAACTGTGACACTGTGTGACAGCTCACCTGTCTGAGGTGAAGAAAAGTACACAGAGTGAACTGCTGTCACATCCTGATTAATTATGCCTCATAAAATGTGTCAGTACTGATCCAGTTGGGGATAATTTATAATAATATGTAATTATTTAAGTTACTGCTTTTGCACCTTGCATAAATACCAGCAACTTTCACTTTGGAGATGCTCATATTGGTCCTGCTGCTGTTTGATGCTGCAGGTATTTATTCTCTACTATAAACAGCTGGAAGCAACAAACTGTGCCTGCCTGCGATGTTGCTAGACTAATATTGGTGCTGAACATGCCAAGTTGTTTACACCAGACAAGTCAGAAAAGTAATTTGCACATTCCTGCACATAAATCATAAATATTGCTTTGACTTTTAGATCATTTCAGATCCTCTGGATTTGCTACACTCGCCATGTATTGACTTGAAACACTTGCTTTCTTTTTAAATCTTTTTGTCCTTCTTTAAAATTCTCCTCTTCTCTGCATGTATTCTGAGCACCATGTATTGTAAGCACCAAATCACCAACTTGAATTACTTGTATGTGAAAAACCCACTTGGAAAAACTTTTTCTGATTCTGAACTGTAAAAAAATTGCTTCACACGTTTTGAAGTCATCACTTGTGCTTGCTAGCTGTTGATGAGACTGTATGCAGTTCAGACTGGTGCCGTGTTGACAGTAATAGAGAAATGTTACAAAGTCAGACCTGGTGAGATTGCTATCATGACTTGTGAAAAAGGTGATAAAGGTGTTTATTCAGACATAAGCCTGACAACGGAAATGAGTGTATGTCTGACAGGGACTTTTGTCATTGAAAGGAGTGGTGCACTTAATAAACAAGCGAGTCAACAATGTTCAATGTTCAATGCAGGGCTTAAAATGTTGTGCTTAAAAACTGAATGTAACACTTGTGTCTTTGTTTCTTCAGGTTTTAGAGTTCCTATTTGAAGCATGAATGATGTATACTGACTTTATTTCCTCTGTTTCCCTCTTCCCTGCAGAATAACAACAATTTAGACGCCTGCTGTGAATACTTGTCCCAGGTCAGTCCGGGCTACCTGTACAGTGAAGGAGGGAACCTCAGCTTTTCTGACGACCCCAGCTTCACCAGGCTCCGTAATCACATGACCCAGCTGAACCTGGGCCTGCAGTCTCAGAATGTGCATGTGGCCCCGGTTCGGGACGGCCTGAGAATGAACGGCAGCCGGACTCTGGCCCATAGCCTGAGTGACGGGCCCCTCCAGACAGGCCAGGCCCCCAACAGTGACTTCTTTCAGCAGGAGCCCCAGTCAGCCCCCGTGCAGGTGCCCTCCACTCTCAATGTATTTGGTGTGATGGAGCCTACGCGTAAACCGCAGCCTCCACAGCACCTTGGACTCTACCCTCTGGGTGTCAAAGGAACAAGTATGGGTGTCCATCAGATGCCACGCTTCAACCCCATTACCGTGACGCTAGCCCCGAATATCCAGACAGGCCGCAACACCCCTACTTCTTTGCACATACATGGCGGGCCGCAGTCGGGCTTAAGCAGTCCACAGGGTAACTCTATCTACATTCGGCCCTACGTTAGCCAGTCCGGTACGACCCGGCAGAACCAGCAGCAGGGAGGCAGGGCCCAGTACAGCCCCACTTCCCAGCCCCAGCAGCAGATCTACCAGATCTCACACCCTTCCTCCCTGTCCAGCTCCTGGTCCGGCCCTCAGCACTCCTCCTCACATACCTCACAGCACCAGACCCAGGGCCACCAGACCTCTCACGTCTACATGCCGATCAGTTCCCCCACAAATCCCCAGGCGCCCTCCATTCTCCCCACTGGAAGCCAGGCCTCGTCCTCCGGTGTCTCCTCGTGCTCTTCTTCGTCCTCGTCCTCCTCTGTCATGCCCGGCTCCCTGTCGACCATCAGCCAGTACAATATCCAGAACATCTCCACTGGCCCGCGCAAGAATCAGATCGAGATCAAACTTGAATCTCCCCAGAGGAGCAATTCCACAACAGCCGTGCTGCGGACAAGCAGTGGGCCCCGTTCGTCCTCCACTTCTTCCTCCTGCCCTTCGTCTTCCTCCTCTTCGACCGGGGTGGCTACTGTCCCCACCACCCCTCTGTCCATCGGAGGCCCAGGTCTAAGCCGCAGCCAGCCCACTGTTTACATCTCTGCCAGCCCGCCTACTGCTGCTACCACCCCCTCTGAGGAGGCCATCGTGGCCTCAGCTGGCTCCCGCTCCCAACCCAAGTTTTACATTTCTGCCAATGCCCCCAGTGACGAGGGTGGGGGTAGGAACCCCCCCACAGTCTACATCTCAGCAAACCCTCCCTTGCAGGGGTCGTCGGGGGCCAGGAACATGGGGGGCCAAGTGAGCATGGGCCCCGCCTACATCCACCACCATCCGCCTAAGTCCCGTGCCTCTGTGGGAGGGGGAGGCACGGCTTCTTCCCCTCGTGTGGTGGTGACTCAGCCTAACACAAAATACACTTTTAAAATCACCGTGTCTCCTAATAAACCCCCAGCCGTGTCTCCCGGAGTTGTGTCCCCGACTTTTGAGTCGGGGGCCCTACTCAGCCTACCCGACCACCACTTCGTGGAGCCAGACCCCCTGCATCTGTCAGACCCGCTGTCACCACACAGGGAGAGGCCGAGCGAGCCTCGCAGACTCAGCATGGGCTCTGATGATGCAGCGTACACACAAGGTGAGCAATGCTGAGTGTCATCACTCTGATATTTATCTGATCTTTATCTCTCAGCGAATAAATGCACCAGAAAGTACAGATTCACAGTCAGTAGTATATTGTAAGTAAACTAATTCCATTGATCGTTAGTAACAACAGTTGACCATAGTCAGCCTTGCAAAGTGGTATCAGTCATGCTCGTGCATCAGCTCGTATGCCGACGAGTTTGAAAATACATTCTTTAGTTGGCTAGTTAAGAGCCCATAGTTTGGATCCAGATTGACAGAAATGTTCAGAATTTGTTTACACTGTGAATCCTCCCTTTAAATAATCCTCTAATGTCTTGTAAGAACTGTTTGCTTCATCGTTTGTTAGTTGTTTAGCGAAGGTCAAGTGGGTAAAGAGTACTTTTCCTCTTCAGCCATTATGTGCACAGTGATAAGACGAAAACACCAGCCTTGTTTTAATAATAAATAATAGTATACAGTTTTGGAGGGGTTTTTTTGCTACTCGTAGTCGACTTAAATGCTTTTTCCACTGCTTTCTGCCAAGAAAGTAATTTTACTATAAAGTATACTGTGTGATTTTAAAAGTCTTTTTCCATAACATCGACTGTAATGTATTTCTTGAGCCAAACTTGCTGTCACTGTTGTTCAGCTGTGGAGGAAACACTGCTCTTCATCTCCATAACGTAGATAAAAGCAAAGGTGACTCGGCAAGTGAGGGCTGGTGTGATGACTGTAGTGTGAGTCCTCTGTGCTAAATGCTGTGTTTGCCCCATCAGCCCTGAGACTAGCAGATTCTGTCGTGAGTCAAACATGTCGGAGTGCTCTGCTGTTTCCTTTTTTGGGCTTTTAACTGTATTATGTGTGAGTCACCGGCTGTGGCTCCTGCACAGTGGTGACTACCACCAAAAGGGGCTTCACATTGGGCATGCTGCCTCTGCTGCTGACCCTCATCAGTTCAGCTTTTTCTGCTTTGAGTTGGAAAAAATGTATGTTGACCCCGACTGTTGTGCTTGGCTGACTCATATTCAAAGCTGTTCTTGATCCAGACACACCTGCCGCCACATAACTGTTAAACATTAACCATCACCGTTATTGTTTGGCAGCAGAATAACATTATTTTTGTTGCATAACTGTGTTGAACACCCGGTTCTGATTGGCAAGTGAAGACCTGGGTTAAATGCAATCACACCCTGAAGTCAGTTAAGTCTGTTTGGCTGAATCAGATAACAACTAACACCTGGTGCAAGACATTATCCTTTTTATGCTGCAAGAATTCCTGTTGGTCACTGTGTGTTTTTTGAACGCGCATATTTGTTTTTAAGTGTTTGTTATTGTGTGTTTAGTGAATTAGTAACACAGCCAGACTGTGCTTTGTGAGCTAGATCTACGCTACAAAATCCAATTGATCAGACTCATACAAGGGAGTCTTTGTATGATAACATGAGCAGCCGCCACCCCCGATTCCTGAATCTCAAAAACAACAATTAAAACCAGGCGTTGCCAATACAAAATAAAGTGTTACCCTGCAACCGCATGACCTATTTGTCTCCAGCTGGTGGATAGTTGAGAAGAAATTAAACAGTGTTTTCAGAACAGCAACCAGGTTTTCCAGTTTGACAGCTATGAGAAAAGACAATGGACAGCCTACAAGTGACACACCTGTTTCATCTGGGGCAAGACAGATTCATCCACATTTGACTTATTGATATATGAGAACTAATGTAGTTTGTTGTGCACGTGCATTCGAGTTTTTGATGTATGGGCCTAGTGATGTTTGTATGTATGCTCTCATTTTTAAATGTTATATGTGTCACAGGAGGGCCATAGATGGGGCTATGAATTATTCCTGTAATTTGTAAAGAAAGCTGCAGCTAGTGTAATCGTTATTAGCTGCATTACTTGCATTGCCACCCCACTCTTTCAAACACTGTGACTTTAATAAAGCAGGTAGCAGTTTAGCTGGGGCACATTTTCGCAGGAGATCGAGTGGAGGATCTTTTCCCCTTAAATCACAGACAGTCAGCAGTTGGCCTCGATGCCGTAAGCCATCAGTGTGAAGTGGCATGTGTTTGTGTATAGCAGGAGAAAGAGTAAGAGTTGTTTATCATCGAATGCCTGCGTAGGAGGTGTTGCAGCCTGTCAACAGATGCAGGAACTATAATGAGTTATGGGAAACGCGCTGTAGAGACTTGACTAGATTATGTGCATGGTTAAGATTCTGTATTAAACACTGCAGCAGAAATTTTCCCGCAGCTAACCAGGATAAGTCTGATCTCCTCATGTTACCACAACAGGTGAGGCAACCGTGAGGAATCTAATGTAGTTCCCCTGTCTCTCCTTACACAAAGTTGTCTTTATGTACAGGGAATTATGCTGGAAACTGGTTTGACCATAAAATGCGTCAGTAGTCTACATCCACAGCAGCGCTCCTTGAATGGCTCATTGTCAGCAGCTATTTTCTTGTTCCTTGTTTTGATCTTCGGTTTTTAATCACAGTATAATAATAGCAAAAACAATAATAATGGTTATTATCGTTTCTGAAAGAACCCCTTGAGTTTCTTTTCCTCCTTTGATTACACATCGGGCTAAATTATGTTTACATTTTTCCGTAAAGTTTACCAAACCGATGAATACAGCTTAGAGGGAACTGTTGCTGACAATGCTGTATGCTTTTGTGTGTCTTCTTTCAGCATTGTTGGTGCATCAGAAAGCCCGCATGGAGCGGCTGTGGCACGAGTTGGAGATGAAGAAGAAGAAGCTGGAGAAACTAAAAGAGGAGGTCAACGAAATGGAGAACGACCTGACCAGGAGACGGCTGGAGAGATCCAACTCAGCCTCCCAAATTCCCTCTGTAAGATTAAATCAGTGGTTGAGCTTTTATAGTTTTTTTTTTTAAGTTTTTTTTTGCAGTTTGCTTTAATTTGATATTATTAGTTGAAATACAGACCAGACCTTCAAGGAGAGATAGGTGGGTATGAATGCTACAAAAATCCCCTTTAACAGTGGTCATTATATCCATAGTATGATTATTATTGATCTGGTAAGTGTATTTCCCAGCTAACACCTGGCAGAATTTGAAAATGTTAAGCGTCTTAACCCTCTGAAGCCCTAGCAGTTTCTGCCATTTTTTTTATTCCTGTCAAATTAGTGGGCTCATTTCTCACAGCAGAACCATGGCTAGAAGGAGAGAGAAATTTTAAAATGTCTTTTGTGCTGTGTGACAGTTATAGTGCCAAAAATCACAAAAGAAGAAAAATGAAGTCAAATCAACATGTATAGTATGTTACCAAATGAACACAGGTGTTAGTAATACTGCAATAAAGTGATGGCTTTACATAGTAATGATATTTAAGAACTTCCATTTTTAATTTGTGTACTTGTCTCCTATCTGCTCTGTGTAAACACAGCCTGCTGTTCAGTCAAAAAGTCTCTGGGTTTTTATCACATGCAGCTCATTGCAGCTCAATCACTTGTTTTTTAAAATAATTTTGGAAGTGCAAATGATTTATTTTTGGTAATATTTTTAATGCAACGTAGAATAAAGAAAAATCTCAGGAATTTCAGGTGAGATTTTGGTAATTTTGCAGACAGAACGGCATGTGCCAGATGTGCGGTTCACGGGCTGATGTATAGTTGAAAATGTAATGTTTTGGGTTTTTTTTTTTCAGTTTTGACAGGTTTAGCTCTGATAAGGGGTGTAATTCTGATGAATTATGCCTTTCAAAACTACCAGCATGTTTTAGGGCTCAGAGGGTTAAAAAGGAAAATGTAAAAGAACTCCTAACCAACATCTTTTACTGGCAGATCAATCAGTTTAAAAGCTATGTTTAATATGATTGTATTAGCAGTTGATTTGGAAATGCATATGATTAAGAGTCATCATAGCAGTTCCTCATAACTCCAAACAAATGTGTTTCTCGTTATTATTATTGGATAAAAGGCTGAACAGACAAAACAAAATTATGTGGGTCAGATTGCCATTCCTGGTTCCTACTCGCAGCACATCAGTGCTCCTACACCCTGGAACTATGTTGATTACAGGGTCTGTTTATGATTTGGCTGATATCGTTCCATATTTTCAGAGTGACAGAGCACACAATTTATGTCCAATTCCCTTCACAGTTCATTTCTGAGCCGTGCAGAAACTTCTGCTGCTACATTCAGAGGAAATGCTAGTTCAAAAGAAAATGTAAAATCAACATATCTCATTCGTATTTATTTTCTGAACAACTTAATGTTGGTGTTACATTTACAGCTGTGACTGTGTTGAAACCTTGCGGGTTCAGATAAAGTGCTGCTCTTAGATTCTTGTCAAGTCAGCCGTTTTCGTCAGCTATTATAGTTTGAGTCAACAGAGGAGGAAAGTGGCTGCGGAAGGTTAATTGGCTGGTGTTGCTGAGCTCAGTAGCGCCTTGGTTCAGTGTTGTTTACTGAGGCGAGCCAGCTCTGGAGAGTGGAACAGCTCTTCTCCTGACACGGTCACAGATCTGCTCCACTGACTCAGGAGCAGGATGTCCAGCCTTTTTTCTTTTCTTTTCTTTTTTTTTTCTTCAGAGCTGCCTGTGTTTGAAGCCCAAATAGCTGACTCTCTTTCTCGCATATTCTCTTTCAGATTGAGGAAATGAAGCAGTTGCGATGCAAAAACAGGTCACTGCAGATTGACATTGACTGCCTCAGCAAAGAAATTGATCTCATTCAAACAAGAGGTTTGTATTTGTCAACTCTCTGATTAAATACGAGTGTATCTTAAACCGGCATGCAGTTTTATGATGATAAAGCTGACAGCAAGTCATTAACAGAGAGGTCAGATCTGATGCAGGCCCTGCAGTAGCCTGCTCACATCCTCTCGACACACAGTCAAGGTGCTGCCATTGTGCTGTTAACTACCAGTTCTTCCTGAATTGCATCCTGTTGCTGGTTGGTAACAAGGGATTTATTGGCCTCCTGGCAGCACTTCTCTGCTGACAGAGATCGAGTCATTGGCCAACAGGTGATGGAGGGAAAGAAACACAGGAATGGAGAGTGTAGCTCACTGACTAAAGCTACAGATCAAGTGTTTTAGGCTTCAACCCAACTTCAGACAAAAGGAGCGTACTACAAAGCAGGTTTGATGTCGCCAGGTTTCTTTGCGTTAGCTGGCTCAACAAAACCTGGAACCCCAAGTAGAAGTTGGGAGAAGAATTAAATCTCAGACTTTGAGCTTAATCTCCTCTGGAGCAGGTTAGCTGTGTAGCATCAGTTACCATGGTGATCTAGCCATGATAGAAGAGAGGCACCTTTGTGACACTGAAAACCTTAATCAGCATTTATCTCTCTTGTCGTACACCCCTCCAAACTCCGATCAATCAAACAAATTGGCTGCATCAGTCATCTCGTGTAATTTTGATTTCTTAAATAAATTCATTTATTTTTTAATCTTGGGAAAAGTTGTTGTAGAACGATAAAGAAACTGAAGAAAAACTGAACCAAAATCAGTTCTACTTCTAACAGATGTACCCACAAAGAGAAAGTACAACTTGATAGACATCCTCTAATCGGTGCATAGAATCCAGATCTCACCAGCTGTTAATTAAAGCCACAGCGAGTGAAAATTTAATGTCAGTATTATCACCGTTCGACTGCATTTTCTAATTGTGGCACGTTTTTTTTGCATTTATTACGACTGTTGCAGCTGTACTTAAAGTTCCACTTTGCTGTAAAAGGCTTCACATAAATTGATTACTGTCCGCCTCTGGTGATACTTTTGCATTAGTATCAGTTAAAGTGTATTCAGTCTGTTAAATGTAAACCCATCGTTCCATTCTGTTTCCATCTGTGTACAGGACCACACTTTAATCCCAGTGTAATCCATAATTTTTATGACAACATTGGATTCCTTGGTCCTGTCCCACCCAAACCCAAAGGTACTTTATCTATTGGTAAGTTTAGAAAAGGTTGCATGGTCATGTCTGACATTTGTCATTTCACTGGACACATTCCCCAAATTTCACTGGCCGTCTTATATTGGAGTTACTACATAAGTCTCTTTATGTCTTTAGGTCAGGTCAGACATGTGGTCAGGATTCAGTCCACTTTTGTTTATCTTCATTTTGTCTCAGACTTTACTTACTGACAAGCTAAAAGACTGACATTACTTCACCAACTTCCCCGTCCTTCACAGTTTCACTCATGTTTCTCATCAGGGTTTTACCAATACGTGTCATTTAAAATTAAGTTAATCTCCAATTTTTGCTTTGCAAACAGACAAGTACAAAAATGACGCTGTTATCATGGTGCTGAAATGGTATTTAGAGCATCATGAGACAAAAATGAGCTGGTATTGGTGTAACCCTTCTCATGACTGCTTCATGCACTCCCTAAGTATAGAATGTAGACTGTATGGAGACGCAGTGTGTCTGTGCTGTCAGCATTAAACAGTCATATTCTCACATTCTCGCTTCATGTGACCTGCATGTTGGCAAACACTGACCTAACTGCAGCTTTGATATTGGATTTAATGTAAGGAGACATTAAGAGCACAGTTTGTCGCATCCATAACACGTATTGATGTTCAATATGTTGCTTGTGAGGCTTCAGTCAGACACATATAAGCCTGGTGCTACAGTAGTAGGAAGATTGTAGCAAAAAATATGAAATACGTCCGTTTACTTTATGAGGTTAGTCGATCACATTTTTTAACTAGGCATTGCTGTCACATTCACAGGACATGACGCCAGTGTTGATAAATGCATGTATGCAACAAATAATTGATATTAAGGATATTAAATCACATGCAGCATTCAAATAATTAATAAAAGTCTGAAATAGAATTTGGTAAAGCCTTCAGGAACCCTGTATGACGACACCTTTTCTGTTGAGGTTATTACAGCTTGAATCATCAGAAGCCTTCTGCTCAATGATTTCTGACTTGCTGGAAACTTTTTTTCATCAGCTATGAATATTTACAACTGGATGTCTGAAATTTTAGTTTGATATATCAAATACTTTCAGAGATTTTTTTTAAAAAAAATTGCTCGTCAACTCACTTTCAGTTCTTTTGCTTTTTGAAATTTGAGAATGTGTTTGAATGACAATATCTCAGGAACTATTAAAGATAAAAGACTGGAAGCCGAAAATGCAAACTTGTTAACTATATCAGGAGAACCATTTTGAACGTTTTTGTTGAATGTTTTGTGATGCAACTTGTTGTACCTGCTTAATCAGTTATGAAAGTTCATTTTTGTAATCAGGTTTTTCATGTTCAAACATATTCTGTGTTTTGTTTTGTATTTTTATGACATGCAATCATGTATGATTCAGAATTTATCACGAATTGCCTTGTGCATTATCAGTTTTTTCTGTTAATGTGTGCTCTACAATGGGGCCATTTATGATGGTTTCTTCCTATTTCAGCTCACCTACGGTCAGGGACTATTATAGATTCTGAATCAATTACATGATGAGATATAACAGTGAAAATTCCAGGCTTTTAGAATCAGTAGTTCCTGAGATATTGTGGTTCAAACATAGCATCAAATATCGAAAGTTTAGCCTCAAATATAAATTTTACGGGGAAGAAAAAGCATGCTGAAAATGGGATATGGGTATTTTTGTAATTTATCTTGGATCGTACTTGTAATTTAATGCTAAAATTCCCCAAATGTCTTTCGAGACGTCCATATTTTATGCTCTAAAACCTTCAGGCAAATCAGAGATGATGGAGCAAAAACCGTTCTAAACATTTCCTGATGATAGAATGATCCATGAACTTTAAAACATTTCCAAACACACTTCTGAGCCGGCGTGTTACTGTTTTACATTCAGTTCCTGCAAAGGGGGGGCAAGAGTGATGTGAATGCAGTGCATGTAAACACACACACAGATGCAGTATGAAGTGTTGCTCACCACAGCAGCATCTGTAAATAACTTTGCTGTCCATGCTGCACTGGTGTTCCACACTGACCTCCTCCTTGTTCCTCCTCTCAGACCCGGGCAGTAAGATTGTGAAGCCCATCGCAGACCAGGAGGAGGACGAGGGGACGCAGTGGAACTGCACGGCCTGCACCTTCCTCAACCACCCCGCCCTCAACCGCTGTGAACAGTGCGAGTTCCCGCGGCACTTCTGAGCCAACGAGGCTGCGACGCGCCGCCACTTTCCTCCGTCTTCTACCAGACTAGAATAGACAAGGGCCCTTTCTGTTTTCGTTTCCCCCTCTAGATGTATGAAAACTCGGACGGGGCGTTGTCAACGGGCGACCTGTTTTCCTTGATGTTTTTTTTTTTTTTTTTTTTCTTCCTCCTCTCTAAGGTTTGTAGAATGCTGTCCACCGAAGGCTTGACTGGATAGTGTTTACAGCTTGTGTTTCTTCCTAAAGGCCGGCGGAGTTGGATGATACCTCACCTTAGAGACTCGGATCGCGTGGGGTCTCCTCCCCCCCTGTTTTCTGCTCGACGGGTGACACTTTAACCCCCTGGGGATACCTCACTGCTCCCACTTACAGTATTACGAGCGTGTCCCTGCATTGTGACGGCACACATAAGCACACCTACACATGCACATGCACACACACACATACACACACTCACACACATCCAACACACAACACAAGTGCCTTGATGCTGATTTAGTATTTTAGTTTTTCTTCTTCTGTGGTGGCTTGACCGGGGTTTTTGGGAACTGTGTTCAGCCGCTGCTCTCCGTCTGAAGGGAAAACGTTAACAGACTACTCGTGGACTTTTTAAAGTTTGTTTGCTGTTTCTAGAGGATGCCAAAAGGGGGAACCGCCAGTGTCGCTGCCAATCAAACGTGCCTTTTGTTCTCCCCCTTTTTTTTTTTTTCCTGTCTCTTCAATCATGAGTTAATGAAATAAAAAAGAAACTAAGTTGCATGCTTTGTGTACAGTACACAGAGGCAGAAACTGCCCTCGAGCTTTTTACTGTACATAATTTTAGAATGTGCCTTAAAAACCTTCTTCCTCACACTATGAATCACTTGTATTTCCTGTAAGTATAGCTTTATAGACTTTATTAACTTTTTTTTTTGTCTTGTTTTGTTTCCCTTCTTTCAAACAAATAAGCACCATGCTCCCTTTTTAAGCTTTTTACTTGAGTTCTGTGAGAGTTGAAGCCTTGCAGAAGAAGAGGAGCAGAGCAGTTTTTAAAAAAAACACAAAAACAAACCCTTGCAGTCATCATGAAGCTACGTCTGCCCGGTCCGTTCATCGCTTGTGTAATTGCTGAGTTTCCTGTGTACGATCTGCAGATGCAGCAAAGTGGAAGGCGATGGAGGAGTCCTTTTTTTTTTTTTCTGCATTTTTTTTTTTGTTTGTTTGTTTGTTTTCCAGGACACCAAGTATGTTCGGGACTGTCGGAGGGGGTGGGTTGGGGGTAAAAGGGAAGAGGGTCAAAAAGCAAAAAAAAAAATAATTTTACAAACTGCCATCTTATCTGACAACTGGAATGTAGGTTTGATGTTTGGGGACAGCTACACCTCAGTGCGAAGAGACACTCATTTTCCAGTACAATCAGGATCGATGTCCAAGTCTACCTGGACCAGCTGATTGGGTTTCTGCGAGGTACCAAAATATTGTTTCTGAGAGTAGAAATACTCACATGGGTCTGGTGCCTTAAACACAACAGGTCAGAATTGTTACATCTCGGAAGCAGACAAGGCAAAAAAAAACAACAACAAAAACTCAAAATGTAAGCACAACTTGACTGTCCACTTTGTATACTCTTATTTTTATTCGGCTCGGTTCATCCTCCTAAGCTTTTATCGACGAGGGTGTTTCTAAAGTTTACTTATTGTCATTAAGTTACCTTAACTGTGGAGTAGTTACTTTGTTTTTTTGTTTTTTTTTTCCCACATTTGTGAAATGTTGCCTTGCATTAGTGCCTTTGAATTTGTATTGATAATCTATTCTGTCACATCCAAGTGCCATTTTTAGAAAACAAAAATCTTCCTTTAAACCCGTTTAAAAGTAGAAGATGAATTATTGTCTCTTAAGCACTTACGTCATACTATTTTCTTTTTTCCAACCCAAAGAAACCAGTTTTCAGCTTTATCTGCACCTTGGTGTGAAGAGGCAGTTTATTCATGTTATATTAAATGGAAAAAAAAAATAATTTGGATATCTAAAGTGTTTTTTTGATTTTAGCTGGGAAAACTGTCTTTGTAACAGATAAGTTATTTGTAAAAATAATTAAAAAAATCTATTCTGAGTGCTTTTGGTGTGCCTTTGTGATGTTCAGGATGTTCTCCACAAGGTGGCAGAAGGGATCAGAAGACGTTACAGTTATCCCAGGACTGATGTTTGTTTACACTGACTAGTGTTTTAATATCTATGACAGTAAAAAATCTAAATGTAAATTTAAAAGAAAAAAAAAAAAAAAGTCAAGGTGCTCTGCATATTTTACATATGAATATCCGTTTTTTTTTTTTAACCCTCAAACTCAGAATGAATTGAGGTATGGAGGTCTCATTTTCATTTTAGTTGAGTAAAATGTCGGCACTGTGATAAGAATGACGTTTTGAATATTAAAGGTCAGAATTACTGAAATAGTGGAAATGTTCACAGCAACCGACAACTTTTTTAAGATTTAAACTTGAGATCAGATCGGTCTCATCCTCGATGTTTTGCATGGTGTTGAATCTTTATATATGACCACAATAAGTGTTCAGGGCTCACAGAACTACATTTTGGTGGAAAAGCCTTACAAGCAACGTTTTGTATGAGGTAGGCTACTTCCTGCTCCAGAACTCCAAGTGGCTTCTTGTCTGTGAAGATTCTCAGTCATCCAGGTCATGCTTATTCTGGTAGATTACTCGTAGCAACTGGACTTGCTTGAGTTCGTTGAAGACGTTTCACATCTCATCCAAAAGGCTTAACTTTGCAGTAACACCGGAAGAAATCCCAGCAATAGACCTCATCACAGCCACAGAATCTGCCATCAGGAGCAACAAGTTGACGGAATCAGAGGCCGAACAACTTCAGCTTAAGGTATCAGCTGCTCTTACCAGTGCCAAAGCACCACCTTCAAACCTCACCATCCAGGAAAGAAAGGCATTGGCAGCACTTCAGAGCGACCGGAACATCACTATCTTGCACAATCCACAAGCGCATGGCTCAGCACAGAAGAGCCAGCTCCTCAGGACAGGACTCAGCAGTCCACCTGCATCTCAAGGACAAAGGACACTCATTTGAAGACAATAACTTACAGATTTTGGCCAGGGAGGACAGATGGTTTGAGAGAGGGGTGAAAGAAGCCATCTATGTCGAACTGGAAAGACTATCCCTCAACAGAGGTGGAGGTCTGAGGCATCACCTCTCACCGGTTTATAATTCAGTCCTAAGAACTCTCCCCAGGAAGATGAAACCGCACTCACACCTAGCCCCATAAGACCCTAATAAACCCCTTTGTGGCAGGGGGAGCACTAACGACTCGCATAACGAGGGGAAGGAGTAACAACCCCCAATTGAAACGGAAACTCAGGTGTTAATGACTCCTTAGGATATAAGTATCTGGAACTCCCAACTACTCAGTCAGCTGATGCAGCCTCTTGGATGAGAGGTGAAAGTCCAGTTGCTACGATTACCAGAACAAGTGGCTTCTCCCACATTTTTATACACTGTTGTCTTGTTTTTTTCCCTCGCAATATAAACTTCTGCACCTCTATGGAAAAAGCATGGAATCACAATTTCAAGCTTATTTTTGTTTACTTTTCTTAATGTTGAAGCTCAAACTCGGATGGTTTTTATATAGTTTCTAGCTGATAAAAAGTGTCATCTTGGTGGTGGTTTTTTTTTTTTAAAGAAGATGTTGGTTTTGTGGTTCAGAGGGTTAAGTCTTTTGTTTGCGTGGTAGCCTAGAATACAGTTTTGCTTAACTGATGTCTGCAATAAGGTTGTTCTCAAAGTAACTCCAAACATGCACAAAAACTGTTTTCACAATTTGCAAAGTCGGCCAGTTCTGGGTATGTTTGAGTATGTTTGACACACTTACCTCAAACAGCGCTCTCTAGCTGATGTGGCATATTTGGATTTCAGTCATTTTTGTATTAGTAAATCAGATATGTAGGAGCTTTCTTTCTTTATTTTTTTTCACAATTTCTTGGATATTTTGGATTATTTGTTTTTTAATCTGTATCAAATCATCGACTTTATGGGAAATGCAACGTTACATTAAAAATCTACCAGGTGGGGTTGAGAACTGGCTCCAGCATGAAACGGCAGGTACATAAGCTCCATGTGTGATGGAAAACACCTGCTTTGTCAACACTGATGGGACCACAGCAACACTTTGACGCTTTAACCAGCAGAGAGCAGCAGTTATTTTAATATAACCTATCTATAAACACAGGTTCATATATGCAACACAGACAAACATCCAGACTGGTTTGAGTACTCTTTGTTTTCCACATTCAGAGCAAAAACACAAGCCTTCAGAATGCATATTAAAAACTTGCCAGTGACATTCTTTACAGAAGTACAGAGCATAGCGTTCCTCACTTTGAGGCAACATGGGAAAACAACACATGCTGCTTTAAATTAAACATTTGTTGGTGCTACAATAAGTAGCTCATATGGAGCGTAGTGCATTGCACTTTTACACAAAGATAAAGAAATAGCATTCAGTCTGCTACATTTTCTAGACTTTATCAGATTGAGTCACTTTTTAATGCTAAAGGGTAGGTTTGCAATGAGGTCAAACAAGAAGAATAGTTCTGGTACGTTTTGTAATATAAATTCACAGTCATTTGAAGAAATGTTCTCAGTTTTCACTTCGTTTCTGGGATGAGAACTCCAATGTGGGCTCAGTTTGAAAGAACCAACAAAAAGTCTTAGAAGGAGATTTGGTTGGTTCTGTAGCTCTGGATCAGAGAAATCAGTTCGGACATGTCTGAGACATGCGGGTAAGCGTTCATGACCTGCTCCACCATGCTCTGGGGGTAGAGGGTGGTCAGCTGGCTCCTCAGGCCCTTCCTCTGCTCGCTGGATGGACTCTTGGGCCTGATGTCGAGGAAGCTGCCCTGCACCCATGGGTCCCTCGGCAGGCTGTGGGTGTGTCTGCGGGAGGGCTGTCTGAAGCACTGGCTGTCTTGGAAATGAGCAGGACGTTCCCTGTTGTGTGGAGGCAGCGCTGGGCAGGAGCTCCACGCTGGCTGGTGGTGATGGTGGTGGGACAGCTGGGCATGCTGGTGCCCACACCTGCACTGGTTGCACATGGAGCAGTCGCAGGACAACGAGCTGTTATGAGGGTAGTGACCTCCTCCGCTCAGGCAGGGCTGCTGGTTCCCACCATATGAACCCGGGAGGGAGTAGTCATCATGGCTCAGGCTGTAGCTGGCAACGCCACTGCTGTAGCTGTGCAGCGGTTGCTCCAAGCTATAGGGGTTGTCTTGGATGTAGAGCCTGGACATGGAGCTCTCCATGGAGCTAAAGGCTTCATCTACGTCCAGGCTCGGGCAGTGGTGCAGGCTGGTGTATGGTTGGCTTCTTGGACTGCTGGAGTCCCTCTGACAGACGGACTGCTCGCTGGGTGAAGCCCTGTGGTCATCTGTGTTCAGGGGTGGAGGGGTGGACGAGGTGAATCTGACCTCCGGATATGAAGCAGGGGAGAAGTTCTTGGCTCTGTCCCTCAGAGCTCTCAGTTCGTCGGCCACAGACAGCTGCGACTGGTTTGCCCTCTCTGGATGGTAGAACTTGCACTTTACTCCATAAGTACACTTCTTTCCTGGAAGAAGGAAATATAATAATTTATTATTGGGCCCCACAGCTGTAAACCTACATCTCTTAAAGCAAAGAATGTGTGTTTGTAAGTGCTTGGTCAGCCTTTGTACCTCCAGCCTTCCTTGTGCCTTTGATACACAGCTGACACTATTACTGTAAGGCTCTTTATAGTGATCCAGACTTGCTGTTTGGGCACAGCTCCCACTGTGCTAACAGGGTAAATAAACCAATCTTTATTTAATCTCTTCCTGACAGATGAGTTTCCTTCAACAATTTCGAATTCTTTAGGTGCTGAATGAAGACGGACAGTAGAAACCAGAGCCCCCTGCTGTTTTTTTTTAAACGAGTCTCCATTGTTTTACAGTGAATAAGAACAAGAAATGACCAACTGAATGTCACAATCTCAAAACCAAAATAAAAAGATGTATATTGTGTTGAAATCATAGTTTCAGGCACAGCTTTTACTTTTCAGTTGACTCGAAATCTTGAAACTCCAATAATGATGATGTTTTGGGACTTTATACTTCCTCTATGGGCCGAAAGAACATTTTGGTCTTGTGAAATCTTTTGGTGAGCGGTTGAATAATCTCAGAACTGCACTTTCGAGGATAAGTTTCTCTCCAGCACTTCCTAGATCGACTATCTGCCCATCAGAAATGATCCTGATGGACACTCTTTGGTTTCGTCAGTCATGCTGAGTTTTGCGGGTTATGCTAGCTATGGAGTTTTACAAGTTCGCATTAACAAAAATGATGTTGAAAGTGTCGTTTGCTTCTGTATCTGCAGGCCTTATACTATGTGTGGTGCAATTTGGTTTGAAACTGCTGATGCTGCAATTTGTATGCCGTCATTTGGCGACTGCACCATGTAGTGTGTGGGAAATGTGTGCTGCTGTTTTGTAGGCACCATTGGAAATTAGGAAATGTTCGAATTAGTATTTTTGAAATCAACTTCTATTTACGTGGTTCTTATTATTTAGGTTGCCTTTTTAATCCTTTACAAGAGCACAAAGGAGTGTAAACTGGTCAAAACAACAATGTGAGCCTACCGTATGGACAGTGCTGCAGCTTGTTGTCTGTGGTCCATGGCTTCTTCCTTAGAAAATCATCAATAGTGGGACCATTTCTGCCCAGAGGATCATCTGGAGGCATGAACCTGCAACAGCAAAGGGATGCAGTTAGATTAACATTATCTGAATTCATGGTGCATTAATAAGGGTAAAATGAACCCTAACTTTGCCCCCTTTTCATTCCCCCTCAGCATCTGTAAACATTAGAAGTCTTACTTGTCATTGGCGAAGGTATACATCAGCAGCCTGTCCTCTATGAACTTCTTCCACTGGGGATTCTCAGTCTGCAGGTCGCGATAGTTGTCGTTGGACACGATGATGCCATCTGAGTCGAAGGCCAGCTTCACGATGTAGCGGTCGTCGTAGCACACCACCCTCTTGCCGTTTACGCAACGGGATGGCGTGTACACCAGGATCTTCTTCCTCTCCAGCTCGTGGAGAATATGTTGATCTACGAAACACATGACAAGAGTGGTGATTATTAAACGGAGTCACCTAGTAGTTTGTTGTACCTGAAAAAACTTGGCTTCCATCATCCAATCCAGTGAAACCGTTGCTAGTCTGGTTGGAGTATGTTGGGCCCAAACAAACTCACAGAATGCACTGCAGTTTTTTAGGATCAGACTGGTTTTTTTTTTAAGTTAGTCTTTCGCAGCAGAACACACGCTATTGAATTTCTGTTGGCAGTTTAGTGGACTTTGTGCCTTTGGTTGAGTTTTTTCAAAATTATTTACAACGTTTGAGATGTTCACTTATTTACTGTCGATCTTCAGGAAAAGGAAAAAAAAAAGGATGTCTACTTCCTGTTATATATTCAGTCCATCATGTGCTTGTATTAAATAAGAAACTGTTGCACTGTTGTACCAAGAAACAGATGAGCAGGTCTGTTCTTTAACTACAAAAGTCAGGCCGCTATAACCCATATATGTATTCAGGCCTTTGTGCTGGTGATAGTGGTGATTGGAAGCATTAGCTTCTCAGGGTGTGCGTTACATTTCATTCTTGCGAGCAGGATAAGTCATGAATGCCTTGTGGGACTCAAATTTGGCACCAATGGTCACCTAAATTCAAGGATGAACTGATTGGGTGTTGATATCAAAGGTCACTGTGACCTCCTAAAGCATGTTTTTGACCATAACTCAAAGATCCGTTTGCTAATTATGGGAACATTTCCACACAAATGACATTTTAATTGCAAAAGGTCAAAGGTTACTGTCAACGGAACATCTTGATGTTCCGCAAAAGCACAATTCTAGCTGTTTTTTCAGCGTCATAGCTCAAAAACAAAAGAGGAAATGTGACCGTATTTCACATTTGATCATATTCAGAATTGATCATTCGTGACTAATTTTATTGTGGTGATTGCATGGGTCTTCTGTGCTGTTGGGTTGAAGACGTGCATGAGGCGTCCGTCCACAATTTGGAATTTGTAACTTCTTTGCAGCATCATTAATACTTGAAGCATTGTCTATCAGAATGATCTTTATTCACTGAATTCCTTCAGAACCTTTACTACATATTTTATATGAGGTTTGATAGACATGGATCTAAGTGGAAACTTGATTGTGGTGGCAGTTTTGATTATTTCTATGTTTCAAATGTGTTGGCACACTTCAATAAATAATGGCACAATGACTGAAATGACAAGCAGCACTGTAGCAGCAGAAACATTTATTCAAGAAAAACAAATCTGTTCTGCAGCTGCTTGGACAGTTGATGAAAGTGCACCTGTTGTAGTGAGTTAGGAATTTATTTCAAACATTTACTTTGTGCCTTTATCTTTACGTTTCCTTGTTTTGATGGTGAGTTTTACAGCAGGAGCATAAATCTAGTTTAGCTGCACTTTGCACTTCTTGGTAAACGGCTGATTTCAGGCAAGGAGCTATTTTCAGTTGACCTGATCCTACATGAACAACATGCTGGATTTCAGTTTTGGCGGTCAAACTTCCTCACTGCTCTATGGGCAGTTTGATGCTTGTTTTTACAGTGAAACTAGGTGATAGCTACAGCTGCCAAACAGGAAGATTACAGCATCCAGGATGCAGTGATGGGAATTTACCGGCAAACATCAGTTCTGTGCCAGGATGGCAAAGTACACACCTATCAAGGATATTGCTCATTCTCATTTCCTTGATTTGAGGATTAGTGATCATAGATTAAATATTTTCCATCTATGGCAAGCACATTTTTAACATGCTGTACGAAGCCCACTCAGTGTTCTGGCTTCTGTATTTTGGTCAGAATATGCTTGTTTTGCTTCTGAAACTGTAACATTCATCATTTTTTTATTAAATAGACTTCTCTACTCAGCAAATGCAGCTGTTTGTGGGTGCTTCAAACTGTCGCAAATATATGTAAAGCTCATCGCCTAAAAAAAAAAAAGTTTGTTTCCTGATCGTGACGATAATTTATGCCTCAAGTTTCACATCATGTGCGTCATAGTTTCAGGCTGATTTTCTGTCAGGAAAAGGGCCGAAAAGCTTCTAAACATAGAGTTTGTCACGACGTGAGATTAGCCTCAGGATACAGCAGCTGTTTTTGATGGTAGGCCATAATTACAGTTCCATAACCATGAGCACTAATAATGGACTGCATATCCAGTTGGGGAGGCGCGTCAGAATCCAGTTAACTCGAGTTAAAGCTGCACTGATCAATACATATTTGATTAAACATGGATCAAATCACCATGAGTACCATAAAAATGGTTGCTTGTAGTGACAAACACAGAATTATCACCCCCTCCTGCAGCTTCCCTCAGCTGCACTAAAGATTTTAGTCTGCTTTAATTCACTGTTTGGGTCTTATGCGTTCTATTTTTAGCATCAAAAGTCAAATAAATCTCTCTGTATTTTACCTGCCCCTATTGTCAGACAGCCAAAGCTAACAACTAGCTAGTTAGCCATGGAACATTAAACTGCTGAAGAGCCACATATCGTTTTAGCATTTGATAAAAAGCCAAAACAGAGCGATCATTAGATTTGGATTTGACACACAAGTCCTGCTGAATGCTAATAATGGTTTTTGTTGGCTAGATTTTTGTACCATTTAGCCACATTAAAACCACAGACAGGTAAAGTGGATCACATCGATCATGTTGCTACAATGCAATGTTCTGATGGGAAAGTTTGGGTCCTGCATTCATGTGGATGTTACTTACGTACCACCCACCTAAACATTACTGCAGATGAAACATGACATCACAAGCACTGCTTGAGATGTCACAACCAAGAGTTTATCTGGCCTACCCAAACTCCCCAAATCTCAATCTGATGGATTCATAGCCCTCAAGTCCCAAAGGATCCACTGACAACATTCAGACACCGGAAACCTGTCCCTTCGGAGATGTTTTGGCAGTACAAGGACTTAGGGTAGTGTTTCATTACTTATCCAGGCTTAATGTTGTGTTTAATGTCTCTGACAGAACAATCTAATACATTTCTAGTTCCACCAAATAGACCAAAAAATATATAAATCAAAATGAAATTGCAGAGTCGGTTATTTGTTGGCCGGCGTTTGTGCTCAACACACTGTCGATTTCCAATATGAAAAGAAATTGTGTTCTAATCTAAGAATTTAGCTACTGAGAGAATAACTGTGAACCAGCTGAAGCCGTGTGACCGACTTCTAAAGTTGGAGCATCTGGACCTGTTCTAAAGACAACAAAGTCATGGATGAAATACAATTTAAATTCTGGTTCATCCTGATCTACAGTAGTAAAATAAGAAGGATACCACAGAACGCCCTCAGCCAATGGAATTCCCACAGTTGCATTCAGGTGAGTTTACCTGTGATTGGCGCCTCAGGCCGCGGCAGCTCCTTCCTCCACAGGGGAACGAACACCGTAATGTCTCGCATCCCTTTGTCCCAGAACCAGTTCACTGCCAGCTGGAGGCCCTGACACGAAAACACCTTCTTGTCGCCATGGCTACAAAGACAAAGAAGTCAAGAGTCAACAAAAAAAAAAAACTTAACTTCTTCTTTTGAGTTTCTGTGCACGTTATGCGCACGCGTCTACCCCCCTTTTCAGGAAATCGACGGTGTTGCAAGACGCAAGCTCTGAGTTCTCTAAAACACAACTGCAAAAGCATAGAGATGAATAATGTGACACAGAACGGAGACTTTTGTTTTAAAGAGTCTTTTTAGTGCTAATAGTGCTCCTGTGACTTCCCAAACAGTGGCATTTCTAAACTGACTGAAGGACATTCCTGTACTGTTGCTCATATTAGATCATAACTTGACCTTATCAAAGCTTTGATTGATCGGTATGAAGAGAATTTACTAGTTGTGATAAGTCCCGACCAATTCTAGGAAACCAATACTTAACCAGGGCTTAAATTTTTAGGCAAAAACTAGCAGATGACCTTGAAACAGGACATCCTGAGGGAAAAGCTGTGACTGTTATTTAATCCAGAAGCAGTTTTACAAGTTTTCCTCCATGTGGCAGGATCACAAGTGAGAAAATAAAGTTCATTTTTACTGGTGGAGCGTACCATTTGCATAAACTAGTGAAGCGTCTAAGAATAAGAGGTTGAGGAAAAGCTGAGATTCTTGTGTGAAATGTGATCATTGTCATTGACTTGTATCAGCAAAGCCTGCTTGACTAACATTTGTGCTTGTAGTAGTTCAACATCTGTTCTCTGAAACACAAGCTCACATTACCAGGATGTACTGAGGAGCTACTGAAGAAGTAAACTGGATCGTTTTGCCTGCAGGTGAAAGTGAAGCATGTGCACACCAATGGGAGTTCCCCGTCTTTCCATGAGCAGGAAGTGGTGAGATACTGAGCAACAACGCAACAGGTACTAAAGATAAAGCTGGGCACGAGCTAACTCATAGATTTCGATTACATTTATCTGCCTTGCATTACTTAACAAGTCATAAGGGTTATTTTTGGAAGGTGTTTCCTTGATAGTTTAAACTTGTGGCACCGAACCTGCAGCACTTTTTAAACAATTTTTTTATCAATACTGTCAAAGCGAACACATTTGCAGCTGCTTCATTTGTGATTTTCATATACTTCTTTAGATAAACAGTCAACAAGCACAAAGGGACCTGCACTTATGAAAATATTAACTTAAATATTTACAGTAAAATAAAATTAAAATGTGAAACATCAGCGTGAAAGTAAAGGTGTAAAGACTGGCCTTTATGAAATATATTTTCACCCATATACTGTTGGATGGTTTAAATCTCTTTAATGTGTTCTCTTAAAAAAGAAATGTCAAAATGATATAATTTATCAGTGATACAAAGTTTAAAAGCACAAACTCTCTGACAGTCCTTGAACGCATCATGTGTGACTCGAGGTACCATCGGGAAGATAACAAAATCTAAGGTTAAACTTGTAATATTTCATCAATATACTCATTTATGAATTTTCTTTAAAACAAACAAACAAACAACAACAACAACAAAAAAAACAGATCCTGACAAAAAAAACCCAAAACAAAACACTTCTTGGTGTCAATAATTAAATATCAATAACATGTGGAGCCCTCATTTTTTCCAGTATTGGTGGCACCTGTGGGCACTTGGAAAAATGTTGTACATGTTGGTTCCATTTTTTTACTGTAATGTAGACATGGTGAGCTCTCACTGCTTCTAGTCATGGTTGCTCTGTTTCCATAGAAGTGCAGGGCTTTAAATTCCAGTGAAAAATGAGCTCATCGTGACTGAAAACGTGACAGGAGCAAAGACAAACAAACAAACAAAAAACGCCCAGAAACCTTTTGGAGGGTGAAAGTAATGATAATATTTTGGCCACTGGGGACCGGCAGAACTAGCAGTAAACACAACACTGATAAGCTGTCACCTTAAAGTTTCTACGGCCAATGTCACACCTTGCTTTATCACCTGACATTATCGTCATTGTATTCACTTCCTCTATAAAGCTGCATTAGTTGATTCTTCTGGGCCATTAGCATTTAAATGTGACACCAAGGTGTCCTGATAAATGCTGATAATGACACTGGCATCGAAATGTAAATGTAGCTTGTGTGGCTGCTCCCTACTTCACTACATGATCAGTAAAAAGAGCTTTGGCAATGAAACAGCACTACGTTATGTATGTAGGTGAACTTGTAATGCTGCCACTTCTAGCAAAACTACAACCAACATTTTATTAAAGCAGTTTTCACTGCTTCTGCAGCTGTCAGCATTAAAGTCTCAGGCTTAACAAGGTGAGGTGCAAATTTTCTCTCACTTCGTCATTAAGAGCAACACCTTTCACATTACACACACAGTGATTTAATGCATTGTTCATCCAAACCTTTGGATTAGTGCAGGTTTAAATTGTCACAGTGATTGTCAGGTGTGATTCTGCAGATGAACTAAATGTCTCATCTTCCAGATAAATGTAGTGGAGTTGAATTTATCTTCTCCATTAAAGGACCTACAGATGCAGTTCTATACAGTTCTCATGTCAAGTGTCAAAAACGTACCTTTTCATATTTACAGATGTGTTAATCATGGTGTATTTGGACGTTTAGAATTTAACATTTCTGAGAAACTGTCCATGACAACTGTGAATTTGTCTGTTTCCTTATCTCCTTCCTCTTTATTCTCACCCCGGCTGCTGGTTCTGCTGAAGGTCTTCTCATGTTTAAACGTAGTTTTTCCTCTCAACTCTCACCAATAAGCAGCTCATTGGAAATCTTTGGATTCAGTGGGTTTTCCATGTATAATTTTATGTGGTCTTACTCTTAATTTTTAAACTAATCAGTTAATTTGTTAGAGTATACTACGCTGTTGGTTCTTCACCCAAACATTTAAATTAGCCTGGTAAGTTCTGCATAATCAACAATATTGTAGGATCTTAACCTTAATCTTTAAATAAGTCAGTTAAATTTGTATTTCATTTAATATTGTTAGTGTCTCTTAACTTCAATATTCAAATTACTTTGGTTTGACTAATAATATTGCAATTTGCCATTTTTGCACCTGTTGCCTTGTTGACTTACTTTTACCCTAATTGGTCTCATGTTGCCTTCATTCCTTTTGCTTTCATTGTCAAAGCACTTTGTAAACATTTGTTTACAAAGTCCTACATACATAAAGCTATTATATTTTTATTATTACGTGTCATACATCATCAGAAACTGTTCATATGATGTTTTCAGTGGCTCTGGAGGGAGCATGTCAAAGTATGAGAAAATGACTGAAGTGAGATTGTCTGAGTAATCCTGATTTGGTTTTGGAAATGACAACTTGATCAAAGTAAGCTTGCGGGGGCGGCGAGATCGAAAACGTGGGCGTTTACCGGTCAATGAGTTTGCAAAGAGTGAAGAGCTGCATTATAGGAAATGTAAGATCCAGCATTTTGCAGCTTGAACCGTATTAGTGATTAAAAGTTTCAAACTGCATCTCTTGAATGCTGCTTTAAATAACCTCAAAAACTGATCAGGATGAAATAATAGAAGACTAGAGTCAGTAGTGTGAGTGACTGAATAATGACAAACTGGACAAATCAAGTTAAAAGAAACGGACAAAAACAGTTTCCCTCACAGCCCCTGCAATTTAATGCCTGAGGCCAGAGTACAGTTCCACTGAATTACCTGCAAATGAAGGTGTGACAGTAAATACTTCAGCCCTCTTCCTCTTACAGCTCACTTGTCCTTACAGGAATATGTGTTGTGAAAACATCTCTCTTTTGTTTTCCATTTTGAATTCATATCGTGCCCTCCACCTCCTCCAACGTGTTGTGTGATTGAGCAAATTTTGACTCAGAACTTCCTTGTTAATGATGTAGGTCAGGCATGAGTGCCAATTACGAGATCCAATGACAGCAAATACGTGCTACAAGTCACACTAGACACAAGAACGGCTTAAATCTGAGTTCTTAAAAAGGAATGGCAGCAGCATGTTACATTGCCCTTCAGGCCAAAAAAAAAAAAAAACAACAAAAAAACAATAAAAATAAAAAGAGAGAAGAGCGGAGGCACAGATCATGCTTTCACTTCCCACGTTTTAAGAGGAAGTGTGTTGTGATCAAATCTGTGAACTGAAACAAAGCTTTGACACAAACAGAGATACCCTTAAAAAAATAGCCCAGTTAGAATGTTATTTTTTCATTATTGTTGGTGTTTTTCATTCAGTTATGCACATGAATGAACAGAACGCCTCTGTTCTTTTGAAGTTCTGCACGTCAAAAAAGTATCTTTCCAGGAAGTAAGGAAAAAAACATGTTCAACTTCCGTCATGTCAAAATATTTTTAAGTGTGACATTGTTTGGTTTGTCTCAAGAATGAAACACCAGTTGGTCTGTAGACGTACATCAGTACAGTGCTGAATACTTATTGCTTCATGTTACTTTATGCATGTACAAAATGAGAAAAAGATGTGTATACTGCACTTTTTTTAGCCAGCTGACAGATATAGATGCTTTGCAGATTAAGATTTTACGTGTAAAAAAATATTCAAGTTAAGGATAGTTAATTAAGTTGATAAATCAGCTGAAGTCTAAAATGAATAATAATGATAATATTCCAATAAAGATCAGATAGTTTCATTTTGTCCAACAAATACTTATAATAAATACTTTAAATTTAGTTTTACAAAGTGGTGTTGCTGCTGTCACTTCCTCCTCTGCACTCCAAAAAAATATAAAAAGTGAGATATAAGGCAAATGTTAGGTGTGGACTCACCTCATGGCTACATTGCTGCCATCTATCACCACCGGTCTGAATCCAGCAGCCGGCTCTCTGTCTGGTCCTGGTTTGGTCGGGTTGGGATTCGGACTGCAGCCTCTGGGCACCAGTTTGGGGCTGTTCGGGATGCTCTTGTTGCTGCGAGTGTGGCAGGTCTTGATCAGCTCCTCCAGGATGTCGTTGGTCTGGGCGTCGTGGCGGAGGCTCTCCAGCACCCTCAGGATGTCACTATGAGAGTATCCTAACTTGAGAAATCGCTCCACTTTGGCGTGCTGCTGCTGGTGGTCCATGTCTGGTTCAGAGTGCTTCTTCAGTTCAGGACTGTCTGATTGGGGAATCCTCCTTCTCGCCTCCTTATTCTGGCTCATCAGCGTCTCCACGGCAACAAGCCTGTGTTTTGGAACAGTTGACAGGTGTCAAACAAGGGGGATGGAGGCAACCTCTGTCACTGTAAACACAGGAAGCACCGCCACGGTGTCTCAGGGGTTTTCAGACACATCAACTGTGGTCTGAAAAACAACCACAACCTCATGACTGCAAACACTGGCTGACGTCATGCTGGTTCAGAAACCCCCTATGACACTTAAAATAAGAGAGGAAGCAGAGGGTCTGCATTGATCTCTTCTCTAATTTTACCTCCAGTGTCTCCGAGGTCAGCCACCAAAACATGAATGGAACTGGTGAGACTGACTGTGCATGTTACAGTGACAAGCCTCTCGCCGTTTTATTGCGCTTTCTGGAAACCCCCTGAACTTCATGTCCAAAGAGAAGAGATCACACCAATGCATTTGAGGGTGAAAACTGCATGAAAGACTCAACCCCCATCTTGCATTTCTACTCCTCCCACTAGCAGAGCTATTCTAAGTGCACAGCTTTAAAAATCCTCACACACCTGAAGCAATTAGAAAAAAAAACATTGTAACTGACTAAGAGGGTGTGTCGGCTTTGAAAAAACAACAACATAAAAAAAACTCCTCAAACCGAACTCTCTCATCGTTTCGAGGGAGAAGCATCCATCATACTTTGAAGCTTTGAGTGTTTTTGATCACCGTCCATGCAAGATGAACTGATTAGCTGCATTTGATGTGCTGACTCGACATTTGAAGAATGAGGAAAGAAAAAAACCGCTGATGTGCCGGCTCATTATCGCTGTTTGTTTTCCCTACAAAAGCCATAAAAATCTCACTTTAAACAGACATTCCATAAAAAACAGGACCCTGACACTTGGCTTTAAAGTCGAGGCTTGTTTGTTATCTGACTTGACTTTGCACAGGCTTGCTACAACCTGCACCAAACCACATCCTTTGCAGCTCAGTTGACATTCAGTTAACCTACAAGGCCCTCAGACTCATTTACTTCTCCAAACTTGAAGATTAACTCACATGTCCAACAGCACAGTCCACACTCAGACCTCGACACCTCCTGCCTGTCTCTCACAATCTGAAACTTGACAAGCTCCAACAAGACAAGACAACAGCCGGCGTCTCCGGGCTCACATTTAACAACAACCAGCGGGCAGAGCTCCGCCGTCACATGACATGAAGTTTGTTTTGAACTTACACATTCAGCGAGTTGTGGATCTGAGCATGAGTCCCTGTCGCTGGCTGCCTCTTTCTTTATGAACTGCTCTCAGCCAGTCTGTCAGTCGCTCTGACAAACACGCCGGTTTGTGTGAAGCTACTCTTATTACTCATAGGAGGAAGTGAGTGCAGCTGAGAGAGAGAGAGAGAGAGAGAGAAAAAAAAACCTCTCTGACCAGCAAGGAAGACAACGCTCTGTAAATTTGTGATCGCTACTTCCTCGTCTGAAGTCGGTGCTGAGCTGTTAGCCAGAGGGATTTATTTGTCCTTTCTCCTTTTGTTGTATTTTTTAAAAGCTCTTCCTGGTGTGGTGTAATAAATGATGGTCTGTTGGACCAGGAAGGCTGCCAAGTGGAGACAGAGGCATCAGACTGTTGAGGTTTTGTCATTCAGACATTTTATCTGAACTTAATCATGTTTTAAGACGAATGTGTCTCAGAGTTTCCCACACTGAATAGGCCACCCAGGTGTGTTGGGTCTCCTTAAAAAGCTACTATTTGTCATATAAGTCAGTTAGCGAGAGAATCAGAAGTGTCTACATCAATCACCAAGGTCAACACAACTGGACTTTGGAGGTACCCCTCTCATCTAAGTGGCTTCCTCACTTCTAACTGACTGGAGGGTGTTCATTTTCACCCCCATATCACATGGCCTGTTAATGACACACGTGACTCACCGTGGGAACCGCTGAGCAACTGCATGAGGAGGAATCTCAAAACTGCCTTTTAAGCATTGATCTCCAAAATAAAAGCTACACTGTCTCACATTTTTATAAAGAGTATTAGGGAAGTATTTATCGTTCACCATTGGATGTTTATGTTTGTAATCCTCAGTAATTGTGTTCAAGCTATCGGAGGCGTAGTAGTTTTATCACATTTACTGTAAAAGTGAACAGTCTTTGGTTAAAAACTGGGTGGAAACACTCGTCTTTGTTCATGTTTTCTCTGAGTATCAAACTGCTCTGTGAAATAAGACAGTATCTCCGCCTGCTACATGGAAAATCGGAGTTGAATCCCTGATGGGGAGTGTTGAATTAGTACCAGCTGCTGTGTGTTTGCCAAGTACGATGAAAGCAAAAAATATGACTCAGTAACACGCCTGCACTCATATGCTTCAAGGTGTGAATGGTCGTTAAACTGCCAGGTGAGGGATAACGCAAGACGTCAGTGATTGTGAAACTGTCCAGGGAGGGAGCTCAGGATTGCTCTGTAAGTACCTGACAAGTGGCCTTGTAGACCCCTTCCTCTGTTTTGATATAGCCTCCTTAATTCCTCTCTCAAACTGTCTGTTTTCTCTGTCCTGAATGTGACTACTGCTGTCATCAAAGCAATATCTCGTGCCCTCAAATGCAGGTGGACTACTTAGTGTTGTCCTGAGGAGCTGCTATCCTGTGCTGTACCATGTGCTTTAATTAGTCCCCACTATACTGGGTGAATCCTTCTCCACCCAGTTACGATGAGGCATTACTTTTACTTACATGTTAGTGTGGATAGATGTTTCTAACTTTTCTGAGCTTTTATGGTCCACAGTTGTGATCAAAATAAGATGAAGGATGCTGATGGTTTAACATCACACTGACCTCCATGTTCATTGTGATGTTCCATTCAAGAGTTTCTGTGTTTCATTAACAAGTACCATCTACGTATTGATAAATCGCCAAATAATCCTTGTCCAAGTTGAAACCATGTCAGCTGTCAGCTGAGACAACCAAAAAAAAAAACCCCACACAGTCCTCGTTAGTATAGTGGACAGTATCTCCGCCTGTCACGCGGAAGACCGGGGTTCGATTCCCCGACGGGGAGTGTTGACTTTTCTATCATTTGTTCTGTGTTCACAAAGAGAAAAATGACACCAACAACGTTTGTTGCTGCTGAATTTCGTTTCGTGTCAGTGTTCAATTATTTCCATTCACTCGGAGGAGCTTGTGCTTATTCAGCATTATTAAGGACTAATAGGCATGTTTTCAAACAGGCACCTTTCACATCCACGCTACGGAAACCATGTCAAGTCGCCTTTCTGGCCATTCGCACAGGGGCATGTTGTCCAGCTGTTTTTTGCATTGTATGTGAGATAAGTATTTGTCATTGTTATGATTTAGAAAAAAATACCATTATCAATCCCTATCACACATTTATTTTTTGATAATTTGGTCATTTGATGTCAACTGTACCCATGCCCAAGGTGTTGGAGGCAGTTTCCTTTGTGTTGTGGTCATCATGTTTGCCTAATATATGAAGCATCCCTGATTCGAACCCAGGTGGAAACACACTAACTTCTTCTTTTTTGGGGAGTGAGCTCAAGAATGTGCCATAAGTGCTGCACAAGTTGCGTGGCGCGTACCCGGCTGGGGGTTAAGTTGGTTCTGTTGTTTAAACAGCTCTCCGCCAGAAGTCATTTGTGATGGTCTGCTCTGCCGCACATGTAGGCATACATGTCACGTGTGGTGACACCACAAGATATCAAGATTTAATCTGGGGCCAGTTTCTCTTTCTGAACCTTGTTGACAAAACACTCCTTACCATACCAGTCAGAAATGAGAAACCTTGATGGATGAGACATGAAGCGCCTTCAAGAACCAGTAGAGATGTCTAGTTACTTTCTGCTGAGGCACTTAGGATTTCAATGACCTGATGACTGACAACTTGCACAGACGTAGTCCTTGTGTGCCACTACACTGGCAACAAGTGCACCTGCAGAGTCTCTGTGTTCATTGTGATGTTCCATTCAAGAGTTTCTTTGGGTGTTTTATCAACAAGTACCATCTGCGTATCTGAGTATCTCCGAATAGCTTTGTCAAGGCTGAAACTGTTCCTGCTGTTGGCTGACATGACAAAAACAGAGGTCCACACAGTCCTCATTAGTATAGTGGACGGTATCTCTGCCTGTCACGCAAAAGACTGGGGTTTGATTCCCCAACAGGGAGTGTTGACTTTTCCATCAGCTGCTGTGTGTTCGTCACAGAAACAAAAGCAAAGCACAGACAATGTTTGCTGCTACTGCCCAATGTTCAGTTGTTTCCAATCACTCACTGAGTGATGTTGTCCAAGGAATTTGATGTTTTTGTTTAGCATTATTATCAACAAATAAAGACCTTTCTGCCCGGTTTCAAACCAGTGACTTTTAGCACATAAGGTGAACATGATAACCACTACACTACGGAAACCCAATCAGATGGCTTTTCTGGCCATTGATTTGCACGGGGGCACATGGTCCCCCCGGTTTTGCATCAAGGGAGTGTATCGGTACTGTAGTGGTCAATACATTCACGCAAAAGGTCCTCGGTTTGAAACCATGTGGACACACACTGACTTCTTCGTGTTTTCTCTGAGTAACAGCATCAAAGTATTCTGTGGTATAAGTTGGGTGAGTTTGTTGCGGCAGACCAGCACGTGAGCTGCCTTTTGCTTCATGTGGGCCAATGCCAGTCTCTTCAAGGATCTCATGGTCCCCTTGTTGGTCCAAGACTTTTAAAATCTCATCCAAGAGGCTCCTTCAGCCCTGCCTGCCTTTGAGGATGGAGGGTCCCGGGTATTTGTTCTCACCCCGCAAAATACACGGCCAGTGGTCCATTAACATGCAACAACTCACATGCCTCGAGGTGTGAACGGATGTGAAACTGCCAGCTGAGGGATGACCCAAGGCGTTAATGGTGGTGAAACTGTTTGGGGAGTGAGCTCAACCATGCGCCTTTAGGGCTGCACAAGTCGTGTGGCCGTGCCAGCTGCCGGCTGACATGACAAAAACAGAGGTCCATGCAGTCCTCGTTAGTATAGTGGACAGTATCTCCACCTGTTGCGTGGAAGACCGGGGTTCAATTCCCTGATGGGGAGTATTGACTTTTCTATCAGCTGCTATGTGTTCACCAAGAGACATGAAAGCAAAACGCCCCCAACCACAATGTTGCTGCTGTCCTCCTCTCTGTCTATGTTCAGTTCTTAGATGGGATTCTCTGCCTCACTGATTGACTGTCTGAGCAGTTTTTTATTCAGTGTTAACATGTACAAAGGAACAAGTTTCCACCAGGTTTCAAACCATGAGAGGAACATCATCACCACTACACTGTAGAAATCACAACAGGTTGGCTTTCTGGGCATCGAGTCCCAAGATGCCAGGTCTCGTCTGCTCAATTAAAGGTTGTATATGGATGGTATTTCCAATGGCCACATTTTTCACCTTTTTTATATGGACGTTTTTGTTGTTGCGGAATTCTCCCATAGATTTCTATTCAGAATTGTTTAAGTAGGGACTCTCTTTTAAATCTCTGCCTTAACTAGGCAAAATACTGATAACAATTAAAAAAAAAGGCTAATGAATTCATACAGATATTTGACTAATGTAGTTATATAATCCTGCTCAAAGTTTTGCTTTGTCCTCTGCTACTCTTATTAACAGTACCTCAACCAAATGGAAAGTGCAGCTCCTGTCGCATTGTGAAAGGCCCAGTAAACTCCAACATTCTCTTTGTTGCTTTAGGCTGCTCTGTCTCTGTTGCTTTGGTTGCGCACCTCTTCATCTTCATTTCTGGCATTGCTACCAGTGCACTAGTGCTGGAACACCACAGACAATGCTACCAGATTTAAAAGTTTGTTATACTGCAGAGATCTACCTGGCACTGATGGACTTAATCAGTATTGCGTGAACTCATTTGGAAGGGGCTTGAATGTAATGGATGTTCATTCATATGTAAAAACTGTGCACTCAGAGGAGAAAGGTAAATGTGTCGCAGTGGCCCAATTGCTGGGCAAAAATACAAAAATAATGACAAATGTGAATAAATTGTATATCAATGTTAACTGATGGCAGCTTCAGATTGCCATCATAAAACACAAGATGTTCCTTATATCATTTAACTAGTGTGAGTTTAAGTGTCCCTTGGTTCTGTAATTGCCTTTTGATGAGTCTTGATCCTCCTTTCCATTTCATTTTTGTGAAGCACCAGTTCCAATTGCTGCAAAATAGCTCCACAGCATCATACTACCACCATGCTTAACAGGAGTTATGGTGTTCTTGGGGTTAAGAAGTCACCTTCTCTTCACTAAACATATTTTTAGTCATTCTGACAAAATAGTTCAATATTTGTTTGTATGCGTGTAAGTAAACCATCATTTGCAACTGTGTATATAGCCTGTCAGAACTTTAAACCACAAGGTAATGTCTTATCTAACCAAAGTGACATATTTTCCTAGCATTTAAACAGCTGACACATGATCTTGACCCTTTTCACACAGACATTTAGAAGCTCTCAGTTGCCCTTTAAAAGAACAAAGACAACTTTCAATCAGAGACTACTTCATCAAACCACAGGCAGCTGACAGACAGAAGGCTGGAAACAGGCAGATAAAAATAGCTGAGTAGGGTGGTTGTGTTTTAGAAAACGTGTAGGTGAGTTGAGTTGTATTTTAACACACATGGATGATATTATAATATTCATGCTATAAATATTTTTTAAATGTGTCTAATATGTTTATGTAATTGCTTAGAAGGGTAATCTGACACTATGGACTCACATAATGGGACATAATGTACCTGAACTTCCTCTGATTCTGAGAACAGCACTGGTCAAAGTGCACAAACTATGCTGACTGTGTTGTTGCTGACACAGAGCCAATGTAAATTGACATACACAACCATTTAGTCGTCTGTCATTCACGATGACGTTATAATGTTGACATCAAGATAAGAAAGGCAAAATGGAAAAACAGGAAAAGTTACTCTGACTCATGATGAAACAGCAGTTTGATTCTTATTTTCATTTACTCCTTTTTAAAAAAAAATCTTTTTCCATTATCTAACCAGCATGTTGAACATGCCAAAAATGTACCAACAGGGTTTCAGTAAGCATGTGAAAGTGTGAATGAGAGAAAGATGGTTTGATCTAAAGGGTGTGGTAGCAATCATCAATATCTCTTGGACAAATCATGTTTTTGTTTTTGCTTCTCTTGTAATACAATACAGGTTGAAATGTTGTTTTAACAAGAAACTTCAACATGCGAGAAGAAACATTCATAAAGGTACTAGCAATAAAAGAAAAAAGTCAATGACTGGTGTTAAAAGTCAATATTTAGCAAAAAGTTGTGACAAATAAGTTGGTAAATTTGATGCAGACATTCATTTTCCTGAGAGGAAGCATCCTACCCACTTTGCCAAACCCCTTCTTTAAGTCCCACCAACTGTCATATTTTTAGTTTTTCCAGTTAAATATCTGGTTAACTTTTACAAAAAAAAGCTAAATCAGTAGAGACATTAATGCAGATTAAGTTTCTGGAAAACCTATGAAGAACCACTAGTTATGTATCCATCCATCCTTCCTTTAGCTGTACACTGGTTGTTTTCCAGTCCATCAGACAACTGTTCCTGCTCACATTCACACCTTGGGCCAATGAAGAATCACCATTTAATCCACCATACATGTTTTTGAACTGCTGGAGCAGCCCAGAGATACAGGGAATACAACAAACTGTCAAGTTTAAACTCCCAACCTTCTTGTTGTGAGGCCACAGTGCACACCACTGCATCTAAATAACACTTTTCTACCTCAGAGGTACTCAGAGTGCTTTACCATTCACCCATTCGCACACAACCATGTACCAATGGTGACAGAACTTCTATGCAAGGTGCTCACCTGCCACTGAGAGTAACTTTGGGTTCTATGTCTTACCCAAGGACACTTCAGCATTCAGAGGGACCTTGGGATTAGACAATCCACTATACGACCTGAGCCTTAGCTGAGCCTTAGCTGCTCATAAGTACCAGGAAAACATGAATTTGTGGCAAATATGCAGCAAACCAGCTATATTTTCCACAACATTAGCTTGAAGTTCATCACAAGTTAGACACAAATCTAATTTGCATATGAAACTATAACCCTGCTGCTTTATTTGTGGTGACACTGTTAAAAGTTAACTACAGCTGTCTGCTAGAAAAATGTGAATTTTGCTAGAAATGCTACTTATGGCCCACATACATTGACATGTTTGCTAATCATGTCAAACTTGCTACCGGAAGTTTACTCGAAGTTTAGCACTACTAGTCAGTTCTGACAGCAAAACAACAGTGAACATGTTTGCCTGTAGCGTCAAACTTTTCATTATTTCCACAATTTTGAATTAGTGGCCAACAAAAGCAAATATTTTGTGGCAAACTAATGTCTTGGCTACAAACTTACCACGAATCTGCCACTTTTGTTTTGTTTTGTTTTGCTTTTGTTTTTCTAAGAGAAGTTAGTGTTAAATATAATATTTTGTTATTCAAATTTCGTGCTACCTTAATTAAAAGCACAATGCTGGCAGTTCTGCAGTGAAACAACTTTCAAGACTTTGTAGAAATTACCTTCCTGTTTTGGTTTTTAGCCAACAATTTGCTGTCTTGGTAGCATGACATTCTAGAGAGAGATATAGCTAATGTATTTTGATTTTGTTTTGTTTGATGGTTTCTGGAGCGAGAATCTCCTGTAATTAACCAGAAGCAGTAGAACAAGAAAACTGTCATCTCAAGTCGTCAGATAACACTCACGTAAACTTTGGAATTTTTCCTGAACCTGTCATGTTGTAGGTGATGTGAACTGAGCATTAAGTCCAACCTCAAAGAGCTTTTAGCACAACCAGACTCTAGTTTTGTCATAGTAGCAGTAATATGTTGCCATGAAAGTAAGCGATTGAACAGTTAATATACATTTTCATAAGGACAACAAGTCAAGCAAAAGATGGAAAACCTAATCCACCGCAGCATATTTTAAGCTTGTTTCACATTGCATAACAACACTTCTCTGCCTGCAGATCTGCTCTCACAGTCGTACTGTTTCACGGAGTGTTAGCTGTCAGTACAACCTTTCAGCTACGAAATTTTAAACAGGAAAGCCTGTGATATGTTGCCCAGTTTCAGTGTCGTAGGCATTACTTCACACGTACATTCCAGTACAAGAATTTTACCAGCAAAACCAGCACAACAGCTGAGGCTGAGCTACATTCAGCACAGCCAGCAGTTAAAAGTGAATTAACCAATTAAGTCTTGTATTTTTCTTTTAGAATTTGCATTTAAGGTTATTTCTATAAGAAGAAATGCGTGAGGAAAAAATGTTACCACTTCTTTTATGTGATGCCTAATAGTGACTCTAATAGATTAAAATACCAAACATTATGTAAAGCAGTAATTTTACCATCTGCTTGACGTCATTCATTTACACTGTTGCCCATAAAGTTGGAATAAAATATATATTTTTTACCTCTTCTCATGAAATGATTGTGACAATGCAACTTATTGTTGATAGATAAAGTGTACATCTTGTCAAAACTTTATTGATATCACAATATACATATAATACATACCGCAGTAAAAATTAAATCACAATTAACTTTTACAAACTGTGCACTCAGGCTGAAATAAAATTGGGGGTACTGAACAACAGGATTAAAGGTTTTGCTTCAGTTTTCAACCTTGGTCAATTTAACAGGAAACACATATTGGAGGGGATTTCATGCATTAGAATGTCCAATATTACTCTTTCAAATGTCACGAATGTTGAGTGTGTCATTCCCTGACATGGATCAATGCCTTAAGACACCGTGGCGTACTGTCCACAAGCTTGTTGATGGTGTCAATGGGCAGGACGTCCCACTCTACAGTCAGATCCCCAAGTCAGCATTCATGTCACCTGGTAACTGGAATGTAATCATTGTACCTGGTCGGAAGTGATTACTGATGTGTATCATAGAAATAAAAAGAGGAATGTGTCTGAAAACAGAATTATTCCAGCTTAATGGGCAACAGTGTGTAATATAGTAAGGTCTTGGCGACATTGTTACATTAATTTGGTTATTTTCCATAATTAATA